GAGCTGGAACAAATATCATCTTTTAATTCTTCTGAGCATAAATACAGCCCTATTCTGGTTCTGATTTAAATGTGCCCATCAGCAGACCTAAAACATGCACAGAATTGGTTACTACACCCAGCATCAGACAAAAGAAAGCAGTTTACAATAACCACTGAGCTCCCCTTGCTTGCAGTTTGCTGTCACCACATGCTTTATTTATAGTAGGCCTGAAATAAATACTGCAGGATCAGCCATCTTTTGGTGCTGCACAAAAAAGGAAAGCTATTAAATATTTACCATAAGTCTCTCATAGCCTCGCCTCTGACACTTTCCCTTTCAGTAGAGAAAAGAATTATTTAGCTCACGATTTTCCAGCAAAAGACAGCCAATTGTGACTGTCTGAAAGCAAAGGGTAGCATCACTGGCATGCCCTGGGAGGGGGAAGTTTTGTCAATGTGCACCCTGCACAGAAGTCTCCACCTCCCCTGCTCCTCTCCAGCAGCACAGAGTGACGCCAAAGCGGAGCCTTAGAGTGACACAGGAATGTTTGTGCCAGCAGAATGAGGCACACTCATGTTACAGCACTTTCCAAAACTAAGCCAGTACATTTGGTGAATCCTTTCCAAGGAGGCTGATCACATTACTTGAGTTATGTTGTGGATGCTCCAGTGAAACATGTTGACAAATAAAGCTGCTCTCTTGTATTTACTGTGCATTTAAGAAAGAAACCCATTTGTATGAAAAAAATAGGCTTTGCATGCATTTTGTTTTTCACTGTGAACTGAATACTGCACAATCCAATGTTTATGGCCTAATATCTGTGGGACAGACAGACAATTAAAGATGAACTTTGACTGGCCTAGAAATAAAATGCCTGAGGGCAGCTGTGTAGCTCAAGTAACTGATTAGAAACTGATACTGAAAAATGACTGAGAACTGAACTCCAGGAGGTCACAAACAGACTAAAAGCAAAGCAATGTCTTTTTTCCACCCCAACCCAGGCCAATACAGAGTACGATCATAGCTTTCCACAGCATAGTCCAGCACAACCAGCACCAATCCTCCCAGTACACCTAGAGCAATGCAGGTTTCTAAGGAATAAGCTGTATCTATAGAGGTATGTAACACTTTAGAATATCAGTCTGGTTTCCCTGAGTGCCTCGTGGGAGTCTGCTGAGTAATAACGCACAGTGCCAAAGACACTTCTTTTCTTCTCCTCTCACTCCTGCTCTTGTCTTCAGCAAAAAAGAATTCACTTCCTAGCTGTATTTTGTCTTCTAAACTTAATGAAGCAGTGCTAGTCTGGAGGGTCCCAGACATGGCCACAGCACTGGATCACAGGTTCCTTTCTCCAGGCATGGTCCAAATACTTCAACTTCCCAGCACTTGCCTGTCTGCATCTTTTTGATTCTCAGAAGCAGCAAAGGGAGGCAGACTGCAGGATGCAGAGAAATCAGCAGCCAGACAATACAGCTCAAGCCACTAAGAAGTTCTGGCTGCCTGATCGAACCTCTGGCATAAATGGTGAGACTTCTAGTCTAATTTTGTGGGTTTATGTGAAAACATAGCATGATTGAGGTGATAAGAACAAATTAAAGAGGGAGTTTAGGGAAGGGAGTTGTCAGAAAACACTTGACATGCACAAATTCCTGAAGCCATGGCTGAATCATGGAGAACTCCACTCAGGCCAGCACTGAACATTCATGGAAGGTCTAGGTTAGTGTGCCTTGAACAGTGCAGGTGTTACTTGAATTAAAACTAAGTTCATAAAGGAAATCACAGAATCCCATTGTTTAGGCAGGCGAGTATGAATGGGGGCTCTTACCACTTCCTTTTTTTCTATGATTGATGCCTTGCAGTTGGATGTCCTGCACAAGTGCTGACACCATGTGCAGCTTTTTTTGACAGCCAAATTAAAACAAGAAGCAGTTCCCCACCCTGAAAAAAGCCTGCAGAGAACGAAGCGCTGTAATAAAAGTGAGAAGCAGCAAACACTGCCAGGTTATAAACAATGCTCATGAAACCTTCACGGCCACGACCGATAAAGGAAAAGGCCATTGCTCTAGAGAGCCAAGAAACATTAGGGAAAAAAAAAAAAGCTTTCTATCTTGCAGGATTTTCATCAAGATTTCACATTCCACTGCTTCTTCCATGGCCTTACAGATAAAACAAGCAAGATCAGTTCAACTTCCAGTGCTGCTACAGCGAAACCAAGCCACAGATTGCCTGCTAAGGCATTCCATGACCTTGAAACATTCTGTAGAGCCCTGTGACTACTTCACATACATGTCCAGTATCATCCCAATTTCGAGCTTAAGTTTTCCTATCACAACAGTCAATCTTGTAATGCACAGATGTGCCTTTTCCATTGGAAAGGATTTCCAAACTTTTATACAAATAGGATAAGTGAGCACTTCCAGCTCTGTGCTCTTTATGGCAACTAGGGCTGTTTTTCCATAGTAGTAGAACACTGCTCCAGTTTCATCGCTGCAAGCCATGTCTAAAAAAAGTCAAAGTGATCTCTTAGCTCAGTCATTTTCCTGGTAACCACGTCCCGGGAGATTTTGCCTCTCTTCTGTCTTGTTCTTATTTGGTTGAAAGTTACTGTCCCTTATCATTGCTACCTTCTTTTCATGCTATTCTTTTCACCAACCCAATATTTGTAAAATGCTTTGCTGAAAAAAGGATATTGCATTGTACATTTTGGGCAGGTGACTAAATCGATAATCTTTTTGCCCTTGGGTAAATGAACCCATTTGTGTCCAAGGAAAAGATTATTTTTTAAGGCAAGATTTATATAACTTCCTGAATATAGTGGAGATGCCTTTTGTTCAAGACATTGGATCCTTAATAAGGTTCTATGTGTACCTCAGTTGGTCAGTATCACTTGCTGCTAGGATTTAGCTTCTATAAATTCTGAACTGTGCAAAGTAAAGTAAGCTTAATACCTCTGAGCACAACTTTTTTGAACATCCTCATGTCATTTAAGAAAAAAAAAATGATTTAAAAAAAATACTTTTCAGTTTTTTTCACTGGGTTTTCCTAATGAGGCTGAACGGGTCACAAAGGCAAACTAATAGCTCACATCATAAAATAGCTGAAAAGAAGAGCCCATTAATTGTATAATTTCAGAGCAAAAACATCATCTGAAAAAAATTTCATTTGATAAAAAAAGCTGTTTTATCACCTATTTATTTTTACTAGTATTTCATTTTACTTTACGCCATTTTCCTTCTTTTCAAAATATCTACATCTATTACCTATGCAAACATATCTCAGTCTCTGGAACACTCCATTACTGCTTTCTTTGGTTGTTCTTTATCCATGTAACTCGAGTATTTGAATTATATATTATTGTTTTGGAACCAAGAGACAGGAACAGAGCCTTAAAAAAAACCAGAAGAAACAATATATAGAGATGAAAGCAATTAATAAAGGTACTTCCACTAGTTTCCTTTTTTTTTAATGATGTGGCCACTAGAATTGCTGGTGTTGTAATTTAGAGGTCAGCAAATAAAAAAAGCACAATGATTACTCAAATGAAATATCCCTAGCAGCACTTGATCAAAATTACTCTTTTAAGTAACTTGTCTCTGTGATATGTATTGGGATAATCTGGATTTGTTAGTCATGAATTTGGCAATCCTTCTGTGAATAAGAAAAGCTGTTGGTTTGTAGTTTTAAACCATTTAAACCTCTATGGCCAGGCCATAGCGGCTGACACTGCACAACTTTTTGGGTTCAATATTCAGGAAAATTAATACCAAATGTGGAACAGCCCAAAGCAAAATAAGAAATGTTTTCTCTCAATGTAAAAACACAAAGGTTCAACAGAAAATCAGACAGACATTCTGACAATCAGAAAGGATTTTTCCTAGCTTTTAAATAAAAAAAAAACCAGAACAATTTAAATCTTTGCCAAAAAAAAATCATAAATATATTTATAATAACACTCTAACTCCAAGTGAAGAAAAAAGAAGTTGGAGTGGGTGATAGGATGAGAATTCAACCACATGCATCAAGTTAGTGATTTTCTACTCTATCTGGAACACTCAAAGACAAACTTAAAGCCATGGGGGAAAATCAACCACATATTTTGCTTTATAGTACCCTGTCCTGTCTTTGAAACTACATCTAAACTCCTTATTCTTTAGCTATTAGTATGTTCCTGATATTGATTATATTTACTGCACATTCATATATGAGATTCTTTTCTCAGAAATTGTACTTCCACATTACAGTGTGCTTTCTGTACTTGTCTTTGCCTGCCCTGTACAAAAAATTATCTTCTTCACAATGCAATAAAATTAGCAGCTACTTTGCTTTCTATAATTATGGAGCTTTAAATATTAATGCATTTATTACAGAAACCCTCTGTGCAAGGTTATCTAACTTGAGAACAAATTTCCTTGAAAGTAACATTAACCAGCAGAAGTTAAAAAACCCATTAACTGCTTTCTTACTGGCAAGACAACTTTTATCACATCTCTGTGGTAAAACCTGCCCTCTCCACATTCTACTGCCTCCCTTCCCTGCACTTGGGCTACATCTTCCTTATTGGGTCAGATACTGAGCAGACTTTCAAACTCACAGGTGCCAGACCATTAGCACAAATTCTCATGAGGTCCCTCCCATGCACTTGTAACACTTGTTGTGTTTGTTGTCATTAGAACAGTTGTTCATAAATTAGCCAAACTAAACTGTGTTGCCCACATGAGAATAATCAAATAAACATCACTGTTGGATTCATTTAACAGAAGCTTGAATGGATATGGGACTACACCTGTATTCAATAGGCTAAATCCACACAGATACACTCAACCCAACCATTTGATTTCTGTATGAATCCATGCTGACTTCTACAAGAATCAGAGCAGATTTTGGCTTTTCATCTCATATCTGTGCCATGAGCACTTCAATTAAATCTAATAGACAGGGATAAAACACTTGCAACCTTCAGTCATAAGCTTCATAGGTTGTCCTTAGGAACACAACAAGTTTAAATTATTCCAACATACTTCTGCAGAGTGAGGCTCAGGTTGTGGCTGGCTGATTTGATCTTGTTCTGGGCCTCCAGGTGGGTCATGCTGTCAGTGTTGACTCCATCAATGGCCACGACAAGGTCCCCTGGGTTCATCTGTGACTGTGCTGCCTTGCTGCCAGGGGTGATCTGCGTGGAAAAAGACAAAAGTCTTAGTCTGACAAGTCATTCTGTATACAGAACAGTTGAAGAACTTGCCCAGAATTATAGTACAGAATAGATACAGCAAAAAATACACTAATAGATACAACAATATTTGTATCCATTATTGTATGGGTGAAAAATCAAAACTTATGGGAATTAAACAAATCAAAGTTAACTCACACTTCTGCAAAGGTCCAGGAGACCATCTACTTGTTGAGAGGTTAAGTCCAACGTAGTGGTTCCCTTACCACCTATTATCACTATCTCAAGGGGATAATTATCTCCATACAGCAGCAGTATATAGAAACATTACTCAGAAGCAGAAAATGTATGAACTACTATCCACTGCATGATTTTATTGTATTTTTCCTCCTAAAAGCCATTTTCCCCAAATTAATTTATTTTATTGAGGAGATGGAAAATGAATGCGTGTGAGCGGCCTTGGGCACACTTTGTTTCTTTAATAGCAGGCTTTAGAGGAAATTATTCTACTTAACCTTACCCATATACAACTGCAGCTCCATTACCAACACAAATTGCTACGTGCCTGTCTCACCAACCTGTTGGACCTGACACTCGAAAGACCAGCGTTCTCAGAAATAAGAAAACACAGTGCTGCAACCACAAACCTAACAACTGACACAACAGTCCAGAAGTTCTGTTTGTTCACTGTGGCAACACATTTTGTTGGCTCCACTCAGCTTGTGAACTGCACCTTCTCTGAATGGACAGCATCCTGACGTCAATTTTACACAGCCCTCTCAGCTTCTTTATGGATAACACCAGTACAGCACTAAACCAGGAAAGCCTTCACATACCTTCAGCCAGACAAATTTTAATGAACACACCAGAGGTGTCCTCTGCTTTCAGCATCCAGTACAGAAAGAGCATGGATATAAGCTATAGGTCTTTTTCCTTAGAAACTCACTTCCTTACATTCCTCACTAAAAATCACAAGGATAACCTAAAGTACTACAACAAAGGCTGCATTCAAAAATTCTGTTCCTTCAGTACAGCGAACATAAAATAAAGATGTGTTTGATTATGAGCCAAAAGTCCCCTGTGAATTCTGCAAGTCTGAAACCATAAAGTCAAATTCCTCGTCACTTAAAAATATATACATAGCAAAAAAAAAACCCTCCTTCCGAAACAATTCCCCAGACTGTTAGCTCATGTGCTTTACTGGCAAAGATGAATAAGCAAAAAAAGGAAAAAGCCCTTTCTTAACACGCTGTTAAAGGTGCTATTGAGGCCAGAAGTCCAACTGACAGTGTAGTCTGACAATGAGAGGTGTCAGTTTACCAGAACACTGGTTCTACTGTCAGAGTGCTCAAGCACACAGCACCCTGCATACTCAGACTATGCAAAAGTAAAGATTACTTTGGAATTAGGCACTCTAAGTAATTCCCAGAAATTATTTGACTGAAAGAGACAAGTTTTAATACCTTTTCATTTGAGATAGAAGCAAAGAGTTCTGTGTTTTCTGAGGGAAGGAAACAGATAAAATGCTCTTATGCAAGTAGAGTTGACTGATAATAGCAGTATTATTTCCCAAAGTATTTTCCTGGTGTTAAGGAATCGAGGGATGGGGAAAACATTTTGTGGTAGTTTCAAAGATAGAGCTCTATTCTGCAGTCTAATGCACCCTCACAAGAAAAAACAAAACAAAGCAAAACAAAACAACAAAAAAACCCAATACAACAAACCAAAACCAAAAGATTTGTGTTACAAGCATAGCTTTTCTAACCTGTTATACAAACATTAGTTTCTATGCATTTTATTGACTTGCATTGTGCCAAGTACACAGAATCCAGAAGCCCATAAAGAATATGGATTATTTGTACACCCACATGTACTTGTGCAGTTACTCAAAGATTCTTCCCTGCTCAGTCCCACAAATATGTTGAGAAACAGACTCTGCAATAGAATAAAAGGTAAAGAAAGGGCAGAAAGCAAACTAAAGCCGAACACAGACAAATGAGTCAGTAAGAGTTGAATTCACCAAGCAGGACACTTCTGCCTTTTTCAAATTATCCTTTTTAAAATAAATAATCTTCACACATTGCTTTTCTAAGACATTACTTTTAACCTCCTCATGAAACATACAAGTTCTTGCCACAGAATATTAACTGTGTGATGCTGGTTCCAAATCCTGGGACACACTCCCCCCCACATGTTTTTCTTGTTAACAACAAAGACTGTTTTTTTAATATCACCCCAGTTCCTGAAAGTCAAAGGTCTGCCCTAACTTGGGTATTCTTACTCAACACATCTACCTCTCCTTCCACTCCTCAGTGATGCCTCAAACAAAATAAACCCAGGGAAGCACACCTTCCAGAGGCAGGATAACACTCTACATCTGGGGCTAGTTTAAACACAGCTCTAACACAGTAGTTTCCCTCTCACTTGCTTTGACTTTTGCTTTTAGTAGCCTCACAGGTAAATGTTATACCTTGAAATAATGACACAGAAACTACAACCCTCCTAGAATTCGAGTCAATTCAGAGGGAGGTGATGGTTGTAATGAAAGACCGAATTTCACTTCTTCTAATGGGATATTTTCTCACTAATATTTTAGAAAATACACCCTAAATGAAAAAACATTCATCACAAGACTATTTCAAACATAAAAGTCCTCAGTAACTCTGAATTTGTGATTTACATGACTTGCTAACTTAGCAACACTTGTTTCTGAGGCAAGGAGCTCCAGGAGCACCATACTGTGAAAGAGAAGGAAAGTCTCAATCACAGCTCCATCAGTTGCTACTTAAAAAGGAAATTACAGGGTTTCAACTTCTTCAACTAAGTATAAGGGTAGCAAATTCTGTGTGGAATTCTTTCATACAATTCTATTTTTTTCAATTCCCATTTCAGGAGACAGCACTCTATTGATGTCACTTTACCTCTAAAAATCAGCTTATCCTTCCTTCACAGACAGCAAGAATCAAAAATTAGATCTAATTTATTGTATCTGCAATTCACACAAGAAGTAGGTATCAGGAAAGAATTACTTCTTCTCATGGTCTTCCCACCCGTTAAAAGCACACTAGATTCTTTGGTGCTGTAAACTTTTATATAGAAGGCATTATTAAAGACTGGATGCATAGTCTGAATGAAACATGAAAACCAAAGTACAAAATGACATGTATTTTAGTTAGAACCTGAGAGACATCTCTGTGAGTGCTCCAAGTGAAGGCACAGCATGCATTTCCAGCAGACATGAAGAGCAGCCAGTAATTGTTGTGAACAAAATACCAGTGTGCAGATGGAGATACAGGGCACACAGATCTGAAGTGTCAAGGCACATTCAAGACTATCTTGTTCCCATTTCTAAAGATCCAGCTGATAGGAATGGAATGCAAAGAGTTTATCTTTTATCTGTTGGTATTTTCCTTTGAAAACCCATCTCTGATCTGCTAAAACATTTACTACCATAAATCACAAACAGAGAAGAGGTCACTGTGTGAGCTTTCTAAAATCTTCAGCAAATATTTTCTATTTAAAAATATTTTTGAAAATATTTTTGAAGGACTAATGCTAATTAAACCTTAGAATTAGACTAGAAACCCAGATCTGTCTCCATAGCAAATTTTACTTTGCTCTTATCTCAGCCTCTCTTCTATTAACAGAAGTAACAAATTTAGAGAAATATACTACTGTCAAGGACAAATATGCATTTTCCAACTTGACTACCAATCTTTTTTTCCTAAAACAAATCTCTGGGCAAGTTCTAGACAGAATGATTTCAGAAAACCTTTGTAATAGTCTTAACTCACTTGCTCAGGATTACAATATAGCTCTCAGTTGCTGGGTGCTGCAAATGCTTTTATTTAATGCTACAGCAAAACATTCATCAGAGTTTCAGGGTACAGCTATTTCTGTCAATTGATTTACAAAATCCAATCCAGGGTAACACCAACAGATCAAATGTTAATAGTAGTTCTTTAGTGCCTCAAGCCCAAGCACAGATTTTATCTTGAAAAACCAAACATCTCATTGCTCTGGAAAAGCAGAGGAGTATGTGCTGCTTCAGAGACGTGAATTTTCAGCCCTCACAAGTTTCCTACAAGACAGACATCTGACTTCCAACATCCCCAGCTTAAAGCAAGTTGGCAGGCTGGAAGTATCACATGTTCCTTCCAGCACACGAGAGAGAATTCTTACTACGCTGTGTTGTGAGGGGATGGGTACACTGGGTGAATATATAGCACCACAGTGACAGCTGTGCCCTAAAAAACCCGTCTGCACTGGGCTCACAGTAAATACTGCTTAGCAGGAGCTCTGGGGGGCAGCCTACAAAGAGCAGCTGCTGCACCACCTTGAGAACTGCACATGCTGCCAGCCAAGCCCCCTCAACTCCACTCCAACGGGGAGAGATAGGGATCAGGCAGCATTTCAGTGGATGAGTGTTCAAATACTAATGAGAGTGCTTGTACAAACAGATGGACGGACACAGTTTTCCTACCCCCAAGGAACTCCTAATTTACAAGGCAGACAAAAATACATTGGAAGGCCTACACAAATGAGAAACTCTTAATATAGCCTGCAGCAGTAGCCAGGGCCTCTTCTTCCAGTACTTCAGCTATGCCTGACTCCATCCTGACATCAACCCCAAAACCAACAATTTATTTTTTCTGCTTCTCATTTAAGAACAACATACAACATTTCAGATAATGAGATATTCACCAGCATTGGAAATGTGCAAAAGCACAGAGAAAGAATATGCTCTCCTCTGAAATAGAAGAAATAATTAAAAGAAAATGTTCTGTTCCATAATCAGAAAATCAGAGACTACAATGTCTCAAGAAAATCTCAAAAAAAGGAAAAAAAGGATTGGCCAGAGACTAAGGAACAACATGTTTCCTCTATAGAGAAAAGAGCATTTAAATCTCTCACCATTACATTTATGCAAGCATTTTTTTGCACAGAAGATTCCAACAAACTCTCAGAGTCATTCTAAGTTCTGAGGCTCTAAGTGCCTGCAA